GCACGCGTGCATGCACGCGTGCAGGCCTGCATGCGCGCGTGCAGGCAGGCAGGCGTGGGTGGGTGGGTGGGTGGGTGCATGCAAGGGGTATGCATGCAAGGGGTGGGTATGGGAGGTGTACGCAGGCAAGGGGTGTGCATGCGAGGCGTGCGCATGCATGCAAGGTGTGTGCATGCAAGGAAGGCGCATGCACGCAAGGAAGGCGTGTGCATGCAAGGAAGGTGTCTGGGTTAAGGGCAGTGGAGTTGCAGGGGTGACCAGTGGTCAGGGGAGTGGACTTTGCTGCAGATTTTCGTCGAAGTCGAACGCGCGCGGCTCATTTTGTTGGCAGCGCTGATGAAGGAAGAGGCCGGAGACGTCGAAGGCGCGGCGCTCATGCTGCAGGACGTGCAGGTGCAAGCAAATCCTCACGCCTGCTGCTGCTGCTGCTGCTGCTGCTGTTGGTGTTGCAGCAGCGGGTGTTGCAGCTGCTGCTGGTGCTGCAGCTGCTGCTGGTGCTGGTGTTGCGGCAGCTGCTGCTGGTGTTGCAGCAGCTGCAGCTGCTGCTAGAGCTGGTGCTGCAGGTGGAGACTTTCGGGGCAATGGACCGCGAAGAAAAGACGAAGTATATTCTGAAGCAGATGATGCTGCTGCTGCGGAAGTCGGACTTCATCCGGTGCCAGATCGTCAGCAAGAAGCTGAGTCCGAAGTTGCTGGAAGCAGCAGATTTGCAAGTTTTAAAAGTCAAATATTATGAACTCATGACCGTTTATTATTTGCACGAAGACGCACTTCTTGATGTTGCAAAATGTTTTGGCCACATTTACAACACGCAGATCATCCGCGACGACCCCGCGCGCATGAACGAGGTGTACATACACCCGAAATCCGCACCGCCTCCCCTGCGGAACAGATCCTTCAGAACTGTTTTCCTTCCGTTTTTCAATTTAAAAGTGCCGTTCGTTTTCTTTTCACTTCTAGAGTCTTATTTTATTAGTTTTTTAATCGCAAAAACCCTTTTTTCTCAAGACTCAGCTGCTTTCTGCTTCCTTTGCAGTGCCTCGAGTTCTTCAGCATCTTCATGGTCCTCGCGCCCTTCGACTCCGAAGCCCAAGAGCTCATTTCAAAAACCCTAAAAGAAGGTTTGAACAAATGCATGCGACACTGGCTGCTGCTGCAGCTGCTGCTGCTGCTGCTGTTTGGATTGCTGCTGCAGTTGATTGACTTGAAAGTTTGCTGCTTGGGTGCTGCAGAAATCAAGAAGCTGCAGCAGCTGCCCACTTTCGAGTGAGTTTAATTCGCTGATTCGGATCTTTTGATTTTATTTTAATTTTGCATTAAATGCATTTGTCACTTTCAGCCATGCAGCAGTTTCTCCGTCATTCTTTGCAGATTTTTATCTTGTGAAATCCCGCAGAGTGGCTGTTGCTGCTGCTGCTGCTGCTTTGTTATTTTTGCTGTTGCAGCAGCAGGTGTGTCTGTGGATTTGCTGCTTGCTGCAGGCAGCTGCTGAGGGACTTGTCGGGAGAAGAACTTCTCTCTTGGCCTTTGCCTTATGATGAAAATTTGCATATGCATGCAGCTTTTGGCGAAGACAAGTTCCCCGGGTGCGGCTCTTGGGGTGTACGTACACCCCAGCGCCGTGCGCGCTGCAGGCGCCTGCTGCTGCCTCCATTGCTTTTCTTCTTTTCGCGTTTCTTGCATGCACTCCTTCATTTTTCCAAAAAGATTTTCTTTTGCTGCTTCTTCCTTTGTGCTGCAGAGGAGAGAAGAGGTGGACGCTGCTGCGGAAACGCGTAATCCAGCATGTGAGCAGCAGCAGCAGCAGCAGCAGCAGCAGCAGCACCGTGTGGTGCTTCCCTGGCCCCACAGATTTGAAGTTGATTGGTTTCTAGCAACTCTGGCAGCTGCTTCAGCAGCTAATGGGGCCCCTGTGGCAGCAAACAGGAACTTGTGGGATTTGCTGCTGCTTGCCATGTGGGGTTTGCTGCTGCTTGCCTTGTGGGATTTGCTGCTGCTGCTTGCAGAACCTCCGAGTCTTGTGCGCAAACTACAGTGTCATTCATTTGCAGCGCGTGGCTTCGCTGCTGGGGATTCCCGAAGAGGTCAGTTTGCTGCTGCTGCGCTGCAGCGCCTTTTGCTGCAGTTGGGCGCTTTTGCTGGAGCAGCGCGGTGTCTGTACACATCGGCGCCGCGGCGCTGCTGCTGCTGCGCTGCAGCGCCCCGTGCTGCACCTGGGCGCTTTTCGCTGAGGAGGGGGCAGCAGCGCGCAGCGTACTGACAGCCGCGCGTGCTGCTGCTGCTGCTGCTGCTGCTGCTGCGAGTGCACAGGAGGCAGAGTCAGAGCTCTCGGAGCTGGCCAGCGCGGGAGTTCTGGATGCAAAGATAGATCGGCCGGCAAGAACTGTGGCATTTGGAAAGCCCAAAACGGATTTAGTAGTTTTAGAAGAATGGTCTTCTTCGTTGTCGAAGTGAGCGGCGGCGCGCGCGAGCTGTCGATACACCTGGCGCCTCGCGGCGAGCTGCCTATACCCCTGAAGCCGCGGCGCGAGCTGTCTGTACACCTGCGCGTTTCCGCTCCATTGCACTTCTTGCGGGCCTCTCTGCACTTTAATATTCCATTTATCCTTTTGTTTTGCATTTTGTGGCTGCTTTCCAGGCTGCTGGACAAGGTGGACCTCTGCTGCCACATGATCCAGAAAGAACGCATGGTGCATGCAGCGCGTGCAAAGGCAGCAGCAGCAAACGCCAGAATGGCTTCTTGAGCTGCGCAGCTTTTTGTTTTTCATTCCAAGTTCCAAAATATTAAAAAGATTCTTCACGAGACTACAAATGCTGCAGCGCCTTGCATCTCTCAGCTTCTGAAATCTTAATTCAACTTTTATTATTTCTCTCTCATTATCTGAATTATCTTCAAATGTTATTCCACTTTTATTATATATCTTTCAACTTCTGAATTATCTTCAAATGTTATTCCCTTTTTATTATTTATCTCTCATTCCACTTTATTACATATCTCTCAAGGACCTTCAAAAGCTCAAAGGATTTGCTCAGGCGGCATCCACTGAGCAAGAATCGCCTGGTCGAGCGTGTGGCAGTGGCAGCAGCAGCAGCAGCTGCTGCTGCTCCTGCTGCAGCATTGCTGCTGCGGCTGCAGCAGCTGCTTCTGTTGCTGCTGCAGCAGCATTTCTGCTGCGGCTGCAGCAGCTGCTTCTGTTGCTGCTGCAGCGCTGCTGCTGCTGCTGCAGCAGCAGCAACATTGGCAGCAGATGGAAAAAGTTCCTCCGCAGCAACGGAATTCAAAATTTCCTCTTTTTCTTTCTCTGCAGTTCCGAACTTCAAGTTAACTTTGCTCAGCTAGCAGCAACTCTTCTCTGGTTATTAAAAAGTAAAATTAGTTTCAAAATTTTTATATTTCTGTCTTGCGGAGGACTTGAGGAGCTGCAGCGCTGCAGCCAGCCACTTGCTGCAGGCTGCAGTGCTGCAGGAGAATAGGCAGCACTAGCAGCAAGTGGAAGCAGCAATTTGGCAGTTTGGCAGCAGCAGCGGCAGCGGCAGCAGCAGCAGCAGCAGCAGCGGCAGAATAATTGGGTGGAGCAGCATTAGCAGCAAATGAAAGCAGCAATTTGGCAGCAGCCCCATTGCCAGGATCTTTTGCTGCTTTCGCTGAAATGAAATAAAAATGAATAAAAGAAAAAATGGACTTTTGTCTTTTTTGCAAAATCACAAAATAATAAAAGTTCTTCGTAATTAACGAGCCCTCTCTCCTGCTTCGAATTTTATTTTTTTGTTTTTATTCTATTTGCTTTATTATTTTGTTTTTTTCGCTTTATTTTGATAAATACTTTCTGCAGTGATCTCTAGCGAACATTCTTTTGATATTTTTGGAACTATTTGATTTTATTTTATATTATTTGTTTTATTTTGGTAAATAGTTTGTGCAAAGTGCATGCAAACTCCCCCTTTAGCCCAAATGCAGCGAAATGGCTGAATAAAGCCTTTAAGGTTTTTGCCGGAATATTTTGCTCCATTTAAGCAGTTAGGGGTTTTACTTTAATTGTTAAAGAAAAGTCTTCATATTTGCATGCAGATGATGCTAAACTTGAATTCTTAAAGAAAAGTATTCAAATTTGCATACAGATGATGCTAAATTACTGAAGAATCTTCGCCGAGTATTACTTGAATTACTGAAGACAAATATTCAAATTTGCATGCAAGATGCTCTTCCTTTTCATATGCCTTCTCATATGATGCTAAAATACTGGAGAATTTTTGCTGAGTAATACTTGAATTATTAAAGACGAAAAATATTCAAATGTGCATGCAGAAAGCTCCGGTGTCTCGCTGTGAACTCACACTGCGTCGTGCTGTTCTACATGAGGATAAACTACTGGAGAATCTTTGGTGAGTATTACTTTAATTACTAAAGATGAATATTCAAATTTGCATGCAGAGAACTGTTTAAGAATCTTCACTGAGTCTGCAGGGATTTGCTTCGGTGCGTTTTACTGTTGCAAAACAACATGTATGGCAAATGTGTCTGCTCGAGCATTCAGACTTGGCCATTTTTCACCAAGAAACGGGAATTGTCTCAGATATTGTCTTGATCTGCATGCACTGCATGCAAATGTGTTTCTGTTTTTATAAATAGGCTTTCACATTCCTTTTTTCTGCAGCTAATTGCCGTCAAGTCGCTCTTGAAACTGGGAGCTTGCCGGACACCTCGCAGCCAAAACTGAGATCTCCTTTCAAAGACTCTCCCTGGCTTTCAATGTGAATTGTGTTGTTCTTAAAATAATCCAATAATTCACCGGAGAGCTTCAGTTGACGAGTCCTACTTGGAAAACAACGCAGGCGCTGCTTGACCCTCGCGTGACCCCCGGCCACCGCATGCACAGCAAGCCTCCGTGCAGAACTTCAATATTACTTACCTATAGTGTGAAAAAAATTGCAATTTGATTATTATTGTATTTTAGATTCTGTTTTAGGTGACATGTCGAGGGAAAAAGCGAAGGAAACGCTCGCACTACTGCCCGCCAGGGGGGTCCAGCCCGCCGCGGCTACATCACTCAGGAATGCATGACTACACAGCCTTTTTGACTCTACATATTCTCGTGTCACTTCCCAGTTTCGCTGGGACTAAGGTCTTCTAGTGCATTTCGCGGTCATTTGGGCCGATCAGAGGCCAGCTGCGCTGCCTCAGCCCCCACCCGAGGTGACTGAGAGCTTCTCGGAGTGGCAACTTATGGCTTTTCCTGGAGAACATCAGCTGCACTAACTTTTTCGCATACTCCAGAGTCTGAGTGGCGGCAAAAATGGCTCTCCGGGGGGCCGGGGAGGAAGGCAGCAGCAAGAGCCCAGCCATGGATGTCTGCTACGCAGCAGGTCCCACGGATGATCGCGAATACAGCGGCTGCTGCTGCTGCCACTGTTCGTGTTCCTGCTGCTGCAGCGGCCACGGGGGAGGCTGCAGAAGAGCAGCGCGAGTGGTCCGCGCTGAAGAGCCCAACGAGAGCAGCCACGCAGCAGTTGGCGGGAGCTGCAGCAGCAGCAGCAGCAGCAGGAGCCACTCCCGCTTCTGCAGCGAAGCTGCAACTGCTGCGAGCTCAATGCACGAAGCTGCTGATCTGCACAGAACAGCTTCGAGAGAGCCTCCGCACTGCCCGCGGCAGCAGGCGAAAGCCCTCGACGGGACTCAGTCCACAACAGCAGCAACGAGCTGCAGCCAGAACTCCCCATCTCACGAGTCGGAAGATGCAGCAGCAAACGATTCTTCTCCTTCCCGCAGTTTCCACAAAGGCTGCGGCGCTCCAAACTGCTTTCTAGCCGATTCAATTCGGCCAAAACGCCTCTGCATCTGCATGGTTTCCGATTTCTTCTTTCCTTCGCTCGGAGGCGTTGAAATGCACATTTACGAACTCTCCGTCCGACTCGCCAGAAAAGGTGCGATCTTGAATCTTTTCCACTCTTGTGGCCAAGCGGGACTTTCCTCAGCTACTCCGTTGCATCTTTAGCTTTATTCCTTTTTATTTTCTTTATTTCATGTAATCAAAGTGAAGGATTTGATGAGTTTCGTGCTGCTGAAGCTGTTCAGCCGTGCGCCTCTTGCTGGCCATTTTGAATTCCTTCGTTCTGCTGCTTCTTCAGGATTCAAAGTCGTTGTAGTGACGCATGCAATAGATGGGCGCCACGGAATTCGGTATTTGACTGAGGGAATAAAAGTATACTATCTGCCGATCACTTGCTTTCATGACAGGAGCACCTTGGTCACCTTCTTCACCACTCTTCCCCTGATCAGGTTCGTCCTGTTAGGAAAAGTCTATTTTTCGTTGAAAATAGACACTTTTCTAATTTTGAAAATCGTCCCAAGTCAAACTGAAGGTGAATCTTTTCCAAAAAATATGCATTTGTGCCTTCAAATATTCAACTTGAAAGTTGTTCAACAGTTCTTCACTGCTTCTTTGGCATTTAGCGATTTAGTGCCTCGTAGTGCTGCTGCAGCTGCCGCGGAGCAAACGAAACAATATAAGGAAACGGAAACTTTGAGACACCTGTAGAGGCAGCAGTAGCTGCACTTCGCCGCTGCCTGTTTTCGTAATGGGGGGATCATGTTACAGTGCTGAGCTGGCTGCTTCAGGACAGTTTTAATTCGTGAGAAAGTGGATATTGTTCACGGCCACCAGACCACGAGCACTCTAGCTCACGAGTCCATGTTCCACGCCCGACATCTCGGATATCGCGTGAGTGTTGTGCAGTGCAGCACAAGCAATCGAACAGGCCACGCACAAGCCAGCAGCACAGAAAAGGGGCTTTATAGAAGCAAAGATGAACTGTTTTTTCCTACTATTTCTTTTCTTTTTAGGCTTGGCAGGGCTTTCTGCCTCTGTATTCGGTATATTTGCACTTTAAAAGGCAATGCTTTTGTTGACTCTTGCGAACGGTGTGTTGGACGCTCTCTTTGTGATCAGGTGGTTTACACGGACCACTCCATGTTCAGTTTTGCAGATGCTGCATGCATCCACATGAACAAGATTTTTAAGTTCTTTTTAACACACTGCGACCACTGCATTTGTGTCTCACACACACACAAGGAAAATCTTGTGCTGAGAGGAGCTCTGAATCCTCACCAGATCGCCGTCATCAACAACGCAGTGGTCAGTGGCTTTGAGAAGGACCTCATGCCGGCAGCCATTGAAGCAGATGGCTCAACATCAGCAGCACACTATGCATGCAATATGCATGCAGGGGTCTGCAGGCAGTCATAGAGTGACTTAGAAGCGGCTTTGTTGTCCTTTCTTGCAGGACGTTCCAGCATACGTGCCAGATTTATCTAAGCGCCCGCCTCCCCCGGCCATCAACATTCTTATTCTTTCGCGTCTAAGCTACAGAAAGGGAATAGATTTGCTGGTAGATATAATTCCAGCGGTGTGTGCCAAGTACCCCAATGTAACGTTCATCATAGGTAAGCAGGATAAGAAGTGCCCCGAGGGAGAGTAAGCTTGCCGCTGCACGCCTTAGCTGCATTGGGAATATAGATCTGCACAATATCTGTAAGAGTTTGTTTGCTTTCTTCTGTTTCTCAGGAGGGGATGGCCCTAAGCGGATCATCTTGGAGGAAATGAGGGAAAAACACAGAATTCATGACCGCGTTGAAATGCTGGGTGAGATGAGTGACCGCAGTGCCATGATTCAACAGGAACCAATTCTACGTTTTCTGTGAGGTCTTTTTCATAATTATTAGACGCTTGTCCTTGTTGGAGTGTCTGTTATGTGGTGTACTCTTTTGCAGGGGCCATCCCGCACGGTCAGGCTTGCTCCTTTTTGCAACGCGGGCAGATATTCCTCAACGCGTCGCTTACTGAGTCATTTTGCATTGCAATTGTTGGTGAGCGGACGAAGTTAGGATCATACATGCAGTGCAAGTTATTTATGTTGGCACGGACACTCATCGCTAGCAGTAGCCTGCAGCGTACTGGGCATTGCTGCGAAGTTGATGGGGCCACGGGAGATGAAATATAGTGCAGTAACATCCCTCGTGTATTTGTTTTTGCTTCCTTTGTAGAGGCTGCGGCTTGTGGACTAGTTGTCGTCTCAACAGACGTCGGCGGCATCCCCGAGGTGCGACAGAAGCCCAGAGGTTTAGCTCTTGCAAAGCTAAAAATTGGATTCTTTGAGCGTGCTGCCGTGCACCACTTTGTCCTGCTATGTTCTATTATAGCTGTGTGCCACTATCCTACATAAGGCTGCTAGCTATCAGGCTTGTGTTTGGCATTTCTTTAGTTTCCTTCTAGTGCTGCGCCTAAGAAATTACTTGTGACTTCGCATGAAACGACTCCGCAGGTGCTGCCGCCTGACATGGTGCGACTCGCATCGCCAAATCCTGCAGCTCTGACGCTGCAACTAGAAGAGGCAATCCGACAAGTGGAAAGAGGAGATGTCGACCCCCTTGCTTTGCACCAAAGGGTGAGCACTTTACGGGTTGTGATCAAAAGTGAAGTAGCAGTTTTCCATGGAAAGCAGAAACGGCGCGAGTATGCCTTTATAAAACGCTAAGGAAGTCCAAAAACGAGATGCCATTGGTTAATTTTGGAGACTGAGACAATTCATGGAGAGTATGTCACGCAATATTATCCTGCTTTTCACGAGTGAGCGTTTTCTTCAGGTGCTAGAAATGTATTCGTGGGAGGACGTTGCTGATCGCGTGGTAAGCGGAACAAGTACAAGTGGCCACGAGGCCAGATATGCATATTTCATAACTAAACATTCCCATTTGAAAGCTTTATATAGGAGACCTGGCGTACTAGAGGACGCCAAGCAACGCCTGCTTGTTACTCACACTTGTTGCTTTCTGTCCTGCAGGAACAGGTGTACTTCAGTGCTTTATTTGACCTCCCAATGTCTGCTCACTTGCGAAAAGGGATTTCCTTGGCAAATGTCCCATTGCCTCCGAACCCGCCACCGCTGCCAACTTCGCAAGGTTCTGTCAAAGTTTTGAGGGCTCTCAATAGATGCGGGCCTTTTTCTGGGAAGTTCTTTGCACTTGTGGCTGTAGTAGACTGGTGTTTGATTCGCCTTGTTGAATGGCTTTTCCCCCGGTAAGCTGTTGCCAACTATAAGTCTAAGTAAAGCTTTACACAGCTTCTTGCGCCATAATGCGTTTACACATTTAGTTTCGGACAGTCGCCAGCGAACTGTGGTTTGCTGGGGTGTTATTATATGCCAGTTACAAGTGCATTCTTGTCCTAAGCGTGCGTTGTTTGTGATGAAGGGATTCAATTGAGGAGGCTGCATCCTTTCCAAGCGACGTTCTTTACTCCGTGAAGACAAATTTGCCGTCGCCAACGTAGTCTTCGTGAGTTGCACTTGGCTTTTGTCTCTTGGCACGTGAAGCTAAATGATGGGAATCACGTCTGTAAAGATGGCATTTTCGTTTGCCTTTTGTGCGAAACAAATGTACGAACATTTTTACAATGCATGCTTATTCTTAAAAGTTGGTCAATGAAAGGCTGGCGATCCGTAGTAGTTTCACCAATTCACGTTTGCCTTTACCCGCCATTCAGCATTGTCAGGTGTAGCGTGTAGCAGATGAGTAGCATCTACTGGTGGTTCGAAACGAAAACACATTCTTCATCAAAGGTGGACAGATACAACATTACCCACAACTTCGGCTCCACCAGGTTTGTTTTAATTAATTGCATAGGCAGAACTAGAAAACAACACATGTATATTAATCAGAAGACAGCACGTTTATTATATTATCTGCTAATGAGGATTTCAAAAGGGACCGCAATCGCAATCCGAGAGCGGCCCAGATTCCATGTCGAAGTACGAAGTTTGCGCAAGCTGGAGCCAGCCATTCTTGCGAAGGCGAATCATTCAACTGTAGGGATACAGAATAGAGTTTAGAGATAAAAGTCTTTGTGCTTGTAGCTAGTGTGTGCGTATATTTTTGGCGGATTGGACTGATTACACGAAATATAGAGGAATGGGGCAGGCAGAATAGACTGATGGGGTAGTTTAGATAATATCTCAAAGTGACACAAAAAAACATGCTCAGACTGGTGAAGACTGTTAGATTGGGCTAGAGAAGACCTCAAACCAAGAGAGCCAAACATACTCCGGCTGGCCGCGGCCGGAAGAAGGGCGCAGGGAGCCGTTAAAGTCAGGGATAAGACTTATGTGGTAGATAAACAAATAACTTAAAGTCGAGAGAAGGCCCACAACTTGCGGGCTTGAAATTAAGGATTCAAGTGGCGAAGCGCCTCCATGTGCAGCCACACCCGTTGTTTAAGGGCACCCTAAATGGGCTTAGCAAAGCACTACTGTGCAAATTAGCAGGAGTGTCATGCGGAATTTTGGAATCCTCATAAGTAAAGATTACTTTCATAAATATATGGCAAATAACTTCTGGGAAACTCGCGGCGTTTCCCAAAGACAGGACCGTGGGACGAAGTGGCGGTGGTTAATTCGAATGGCGTGTCCCTGCGTGCTGCGGTCTAGCGGACCAACATAGTGAATCTGGGAAGAAGAAATCATAGGCAGGGGTGTCTTTTCAATTAAGGTTTCATGAAATCCCAAAAGGAGTATCGTGAGTGTTGCTTCCGGGTGGTGAAGGTAGTACGGGTCGGGCTGGGCGGTCGGTGGCACAGAACGGCTCTGCGGGGGGTCGGTTTCAGTTGGTGATTATGAAGTACGCTTGGAGAAAACTGCGATTCCTAAGCCTTCTGTGCTTTGAGTTTGCTGGAGATATTCAAAACATAGGTAGATAGGGAGGGGGTGTCGCAGTTTGCGGGGCCCTCCTTTCCCTTAAGTTCCAAACACTTGCCGAACATAGCCTACCGTTATGTTGCTGCCGTACTAAACAGGTGCTTCATCAATGATCAAGTGCTTATCCTTTGAATTTATCTGAGCTTTGGGAGGCAGTTTCCAGCGCGGCAACGGCAAGTCTTTACTATCGCGTCCCCCCCACGAGTCGGCAGCGACAGAACCCACTACGAAACCATCAATTTTTGCAAATTGTGGGGCCAAGCTCCAAAGGATTTCAACTAGGTGGCGAATAGGGGGAAAGAAGTGGCTGCACATGCAGTTGCTCAGCAGCCTGGGTGTTTCGTACTGCACACAGCAGAAGGCACGAAGGAGTACTTGGGCTGCGAAAGACTTGCCCTTGCCAACGGATAATTCGGAGGCCCTAAAGCCAAGAAATCCCGCTTCTATGCATGCACAGGGCTGAGCCTGAGGGACGCAACGGTTTGCAGACCTGTTGCAGCGATGGACGCTGCGTCACAGCGCAGCCAGCCAGGGCGCTTGCTCCTGTCTGAGTGTCCTCGCAGTTTCTTGGATTCAATTCCCTCGCCCATAGCCCCGGCTCCCCTTGGGAGTTTAGGCTATGTCATAACGAAGGAACATGTTGACGAAATGCGCCGGATGGAAAAACTGTGCGAAGCCAAGGAAGAGAAGCTGCACAGGGAATACAAGCCCGTTTTCCTTCCTGTGGATGAGTATCTTAGCAAAGAGATCAACTGCGAGCTCATCAATGTTGACATTCGAAGCTATCCATGGAAAAACACTCCATTTGGTAAGCTGCCTCCGCCATCCTCCCCTTTACTATTATTTACTGCGAAGAAAGGAACTTCACCAAGGAACGTGACCTCACCTCCACTTTTACATTAGCTGGATTTGAATGTGTAATGATGCACTTTTGTTTTGTTTGGCTTTTTAGGAGATGTGTACTACTCGCCTCGCTACAATGATGACCGGTACACATACCGGCATGTTCTCCTCACAAACGGGGTGCGGAAAGAAGCTGAGCGGGTCGCTGCTACCGTCCCTGGTGCGTCTTTTTACCAGTATATATATATGTATGTATGTAAATATATGATATATATACATATATGTGTATGCATGTTTCTCCCACGTTCGCTGTCATACCGCTTTCACCGTGCCTATGTGCACAAGTCGGTTGCTGGAAAGCTGCTGGGCTCACGGACAAGGCTTTGAGCCGTGCTTCGAACGAGTGGCTTCTTGCGGCTTCAGGAGGCTTGCTGACTGAGGAAGTGTTTGTCCATTATTTGGGCATTGTCTTGTCAAGTGGGTGGTCGCACTTCATGCTGTTCAACAAGCAGTTCAAAGAGCTGATCCTCAGAAGACCGAAAGAACCCGACGCGCCGGTCACTCCGGAGGAAGTCACACGCATTCGGGACGGCGCGCCTGGGCCAAACGATGAAGTAAGTTTGGCGAAGTTTTTCATGTTTGTCGCTTTGCGGCGGGAACGTCTAGCTACAGAACTGCAGCTAAACTCAACTGCTGCTGCCTGGATGCAGCAGTTTTCAAGAGGTAGTTATCGCAGCAAGGTTTGTTTGCGAATTGAAATGCAGGTTGATTCCGACAGCGGAGATGACGAAGAGCAAAAGGCAGCCATAGCTCTAATCCGCAAGAAAGAAGCCGAACAGCAGCAGCGGCAACTGCAGGATGAGAACAAGCTGCATCAAGCTGGCTTTCCGGATGCAGAGTCCGTCGCCGGCAACGACTGTGGGAGTAAAGAGGGGACTCACGAGGCTGCTGCTAAGCAGCAGGACTCAGCAGCTGCAGAGGCCCCGCTCCGGGGGGCCTTGGAGTCTGCAGAAGCTCAGGAAAAGGAAAATGCGCTGCTGCCGCAGAACTCGAGGGAAACTGCAGCAAAGAGTGAAAAGCCACCACTCGTGACTTGCACAGGTAGCAATGCAGCACGCGGGGATCGCAGCAGCCAAAAGGGAGCTGCTGAGGAGTCGGAAATGGCCCAGAAGCCGCTGCATGCAGCTCAGAGTGCTGCTGCTGCAGGGCCGCAGGGAAGGCGGCGCAGGGCGGCGCCGACAAAGGCAGCAGCAGCAGCACACAGCAGCAGCAGTGGCTTGGCGCAGCAGCAAAAGACCAACGGCAAAGGCTTGCCGGATGCTGCAGCAAGAGCTCGAGGTCGAGCTGCTCTCCGCCGAAAAGAAGCAGCTCCCCCCCCTCGAGCTGCTGCTGCTGCTGCTGCAGGCCGGCGAAACCCAAGTGAGGCTGGGGGGCCCCTGGCTGCAGCCCGTTCTGCTGGGACTGCAGCAGAAGAGAGTGCCCCGCTGCCGGCTGCTGCTGCTGGGAGAGTGGCTGCGAGGCACCTGGGGGCCCCGCGAGCCCAGCCCAGAGCAGCAGCAGCAGCAAGAACTGCTGCTGCTGCTGCAGCGGCAAAGGCCGACGGCCGCGCGCAGGGACGCGCAGAAGAGAAGCTGCTGAGTGCAGCAGATGCCCCCGGAGGGAAAAGACGCCTCGAGGGAGGGGAAGTTAATAAGGCCAAGCAGCGGCGGGTGTAGTGACACTTCAACAGAGACTGCAGGAAAAGCTCCGCCTGCTGCATGCAGGAAATGCCTTTTCGAGGCAGCAAGTTTCAGCAGGGCTTCTGAGAAGTGCGGCGAGACTTGGAAACTGCTTGAGGGGAGAAGCTCTCAGCAGCATTTCCTAGAGCTTTCGTCTCGAAGTTTGAAGTGGGACTGGCGCATGCAACAAGTGCTGCACAACTGCGGCACTTCCTGGGGGCTCCGCGAGACCCTCAGGCCGAGGGAACTGCAAACAAGTCTTTGGCATTTGCGGGAACTGTGGGATATATGGCGGCGCAGCCAGCCTGCGCTGTCGCTTCTTGTCTTTGCGTTATTGGCGGGCACTCAGCTTGGCCCTTTCGTGCTCTCGAGCCGCCAAGATCATTTTTTGCCACCAACTGACACTCAGAAAGCTGAACTTCACAGACTTCACTCTATTTGAAACTGGGCTGGCGTGGTGCATAGTTCACTTTTTGAAATCAGTTAACATGATACAAGAGTAAACTAGCGCGACCGAGAAACCTTAGAGCAAACGCTGGTGCTCTTCGTGGGGAAGTCCTGCACTGCAGCGCCTTAATTAGTGGTACTTTGTGCATTTCAAGTTTGCATGTGCCCGCGAGCTTGAGTGCTTACTGCTGTTGAGTGAATATCAGTTTAGGACGGCCAGTCAAACTCACGAATCCTTACATCCCAACCGGCGTTGCAGAAATGTGAAAAAAGGTTTTCCGTTCGAATTTTTGGGAAAGGATCCCTCACACTGTGCATTATTCCTCGTGAAACCCCTTTTAATATCGTGCAAGTCGAATCGGCAATGCTTTGTTCATGATCTGATGCTGAATAATGCCAATGTATAGCTGTTCTGTACAGCCAGCTGAGAGCCGTCGTGTCTTCTGCAAAGCTCATCACCGCAAAGTTTGAAACACGCGAGCTCATCGCGCACCACGCATCTATTTTAAACGATATCTTCATTTTCTGTATGAATGAACCAGCAGCAATAGCAATATCACAAACCCGAAAGAAGCTGCTTTGAACGCCCACCTACAATGCTTTCCTCACTTGCCAAGAATTTTGTCGGAAGCTCGCGGGAAACAAGCGCAGAGAGAAACTCCCCGCAATCTCGCCTCATCCCACACCCTCAAGCGGTGAGCTGAAGCAAAATAATTCTCTCTGGGGAGTTTCGACTGTTAGTTCAGATCGGCGACTCCGCGATAGCCTTGAAGGAAAGGCCGCCTGAGCCATCACCGGTAAATACGAAGCAGCAGGACTAGCAGAGCTGCCATTTTTTCTCCCAGGAATGTTTTTGTTGACTCATTGAGTGCTCCATTTAGTTCCCAGATGACGCGTGGTGTCCAGAGAAGATCGAGCATCTTTTCCCTGAACTAAGAAGCGCCGGTTTCAGCAACAAGTGCAGACAAACACTGGTAGGGCCTCACGTTGTGCCTGTCTATTTCGCGCTGTCTTCATATTTGTTTAAAAACAGATTGAACATCCTAGGGACTTAATTCAGATTTCAGTACCGGACAAATCTGCTTTGAACTGCAAACCTGCAAAATGCCTGACATTTGCAGAACACCAGAATCCTCCAGGTTTGTCTCCCACATGTCATTCGGTTTATTCAAAAGCTAATTTTTGTCGAAGGCAGCAGACACAGCAGCAGCTGCAGCCCCGCTGCACTCCTCCCAGCTGCTGCATGTCCTGCTCTTGGCGACAGATCTAGCCAGTTTCGAAAGAGTTGTTCAATCTCTCCTGACTCCCCTGCTGCCAATTCCTCAGCATCTCAGCAGCAGAACGAGCAGGATGTGTCGGCTGTGTGCTTCCGGGAGCTGCTGCCAAGTGAGAGCAGCAAGCGCGGGATGAGCCCGCAGGCCCCTGCAGCAGCTGCTGCAGCAGCTGCTGCTGCAGCAGCGCAGGCCAGCCAGTTCTTCTCCCTTGCTGGGGACCACGCGGACTCGCGGCAGGCCTTGTGTCTCCCTGCAGCTGAGGTTTTTGCCATTCTTGACGGCGACGAGACCCCCGAAAGTGCTGCTGCTGCAGAGGCCAGCGGGTTGCTGCAGCAGAGCAGTTCTGCTGCAGTGGAGCGGCTGAGTCCTGGCACTGCAGCAGACTGCAGCTCCCAGGGCATGCAGCTGATCTCCGACTTCTCAGACTTGACAAACAACTTGCCCGGCTCGCTGCAGCCCTCTGCAGAAGAAATGGTGCGGCTGCTTCTCGCGGAAGTGCCCGTTGCTCCCGACAAAGTGGCCCCGAGTGGTTCTGCTGCTGTGGAGCAGCAGCAAAGTTCGCCAAGGGCTTCCGCAGAAGCTCTTCAGCGCAGCAGCGCGAAACACGAAAGAGCTGCTTCCCCAGAGTTCTGCACGCGCCTGCTGCCCGAAGGACTCAGCCGTTCTGGAAAGAGGCAGCGGACTGCAGATCCTGGAGCAGCGGAGGCCTGCAACAACTCCCCCTCAGGCTACAGCCCAGCCTCCACTAGAGATATAGACGAACAGATCAGCAGAGCCATTTCAGACTTCGTCGAAAAATCGACAGAATGGCAAGAGATCCTTTACTACGCCACCACAGAGCCAAAAGACATTCAGGTTCGCCTCTAGACTTGCGGCTGGGCTGTCCTGACGCGGCCACCACCGCTGCAGTCAAAAAGGCCTCCAGCAATTTCAAAGTCACAGCTTAGCCATATTTGTTTTCAACAATATTTACGAATACTTGGGCACCGAGAAACGCGGTAAAACACATCTTCGAATCCTGAAATTAGGGCGCTGGTGTGGCACCATATACAAATTTCGCCTGTTTCGCCAGTGGCTTGATGAATACAATAGATGTTCACATCACTGTGTACGCCTAGCAATCCGTTAGAAGTATATTATATTTTTAAGAATAATTGGCACTGCGCAAGGCTGTGAGTAGCCGCCTTTGACATGCGCGGGTTCCGTGGTACACAATATAAGTGAACTCGCTATAGTAGTGAACTTGCTATAGTACTGCTGTGCTACGCTTCCTATTTATGTCGATCAGCTGCCTGAGGTGTCATATTTCACTCAGCTGAAAAAAAAGACCTGCGAAGTTCCGCCCAGGAAACATAATTAAGAATGCAAAAAAATAAGCGACAAATTGTCAGACGTACGATGGATCGTAGCCACTGCGTGCAGTCCAACTTCCGAGGCACAGCCGGGCTGGGTAAAGCGTTCAGTGAAGCAGTGTGTGACGCAAAAACGCAAGAAAAAGGCTGCACCTAACAATGAAGGCAGATACAGAGCCTTGTAGACTCCCATGAGGAAGCTGCACAACTCCTTGCAGAACACGAAACAAAGCGCACTCGAGAGGCACAAGGCAGCACAAACGGCAAACGAGAAAATCAATTTCAACATAAACGCGATGATGGGCGCGATATTAGCAACGTAGTGGGAACGGAAAGCGCCAGAAAAGTGATCGCGCAGTTCCAGTCCCGCACATCACAAAAAAGCGAGTGGCCAAACGGTCAAACGAGAACGCATCAAAACAGCGTGACCACTGGACCAGCTGAAGTGTGGTAAGTGCCGCTCCGATAAACGTTCGGCGCCAAAAGCAGCTGAGTTTCCACAAATTCTCTTCGACCTGAAGCAACAAACGGACACAAGCATGGCGGGGTCAACTTCATAACATCGCTTGCTAGCCAGTCATCATGCTACTAAGCTAGCTAGCCTGCTAGCCACAACAATCTTCAGCTGTCACTAATCCCTCAACACAATGCCTCCAGCTTCCTTCGCAAATGTCGCATCCCTTTTCAAGCACAGAATATGTGGCCAAACTGCAATCAACTGACATACAAACGCACTGCTGCGGGAATGCAGCCCAAAATCGCTAACATCCCATTAAACCCATTCGAAGGAAGCTGCCTCACCTGAGAAGTCGTATGTAAATCTCTTGACTACGCTGCTGTTTCTCTTTCTGCTCATTAACTTGGTCAGCACAATAGAAATATTGTCCGCAGACCCAAGAAGGTACGCCGTGTTCAGCATCCGAAACGCCGTCTCCACCAGATTATCATTCGTGTTCTGAAAGAGCCATGCACGGGCACATAGTCAAACCACGTCGATCAGGTTTCTAGCACAGTAAACCCTCCCGTGTTTCTAGCAACGAAAGAGCAGCTAGCATTTACTCAACAAATCAATCCACGAATGGCTGTCGCGGCAGCGTGAAGCACAATAAAGACAAGCAGACCTCTTGCAAAGTGTACCTGCAATTCGCGCTGTAGCAAATTTGCGACGTAGTCCCAACTCATGCCCGGTGCCTCAAACATCCCTGAGCACAAGACGTGCGCTCCGTCCCGGCTTGTAGATCACACATTACAATGTGGTTCAATAGTGAAAATCGCAGGTTCGAATGCACAGAGAGAGGCGAATAGGAATCCGTTGAGACCCTTCGATCACTGAAAGTGCTCAAAGCAATTTACCGTCGCAAGCCATAAAGATGTAATCGCCCTCATAAGCCTCGAAAGTGCGCACGTCGGGAATCGCCACTACTTTCTGCTCAGTAGCTGGCAACGCTGCGTTCGATTTCATGCGCTGCATCACATGAAAGCCCATTAACGGAAACACAGGAAACTAAACAGTCGAAGTTGCAAAAGCATTGCTTTGCTGCTCCTGTTGTGCAGTTCTGTATCTCTAGAGCCTCGCAACTGGGAAACGTTCGTCTCTGTTTCACGCGCACCTCTGGAAACTGGCCGCTACTTTTATGTACTTTTCTACATAATACTCAAGCTCTGCTGAATGGTACTGGAAATTTTCTACAGAGCCTAGTTGGTATGTGTGAGAGTTATAGTGCTTTGATGTTGTCTCACGATGTCCCCAAAGGCTCTTGAAACGGACAGAGTCCCGTCGACTCGATACACCTTTCGGACTCGCGAAACGAAGCCACCTGCACGGCTAATTCGTGCGACTTCTTGGGGGTCGTTCGGCTTGTGGTCTTTTGACATGATTGTGTAATTGCCATTTCGGTGCAATATAAAGGCCCGAGAATCTCCTGAGACATAGCACACAGCAAAAGACTACGCTGTGTCTGCAACACAGAAGCGATGGAGCTGCGAAAACACTGCCGTGCAGTCAATAAAACTATGGAATGGTTCATTTACAGAGCAGAAGTGCCGTGCAATCCGAACACTAAACTGTATGGGCACTCTGGCCAGGAAAGGACAAACTGTATCCATACTTTTAACTAAGACTCTATGAATAACATCGCGTAATAGCTTGACACAAGAGAACTATATGCCATTCGTCTGCATCTCATAGCCGCTTGCTTACCGATATTTGACACGTGTATTTTGAATTTCGGTACCCGCTCATCCGGCCTCTCGATGGCAACAATTAAACCTGTGGAGGAATAGCCAACCTCAGCGAGAAAAGGACAAGTCAACTGCATGTGCGGAGGTGGAACTACGCAAATGGCAAACCAGATGCCGCTAAAAAATACAGCTAAGTACAGCATCTGCAAATAATTTCAATACGCTACCTGCTCTGAATCAGTCCGATGCAACTGTGTTCGGCAGCGAAGTTCTCTTACCAGTGCTGCCACCTCGTTCATGACGCACAGGATCAGCTTGGATCACCGCATCAAGCATCAAGGAAGTCCTCTTAAAGCTCTCTGGAGATAAGTCCGGCATGTTCCCTAAAGCAAAAGAGCCAAGAAACACACCTGCGCTGTCTTTTGCCAGGACTCAACAAACAGTAGAACTAAACTCTTTTCGCCATTTGATTTACATTGTCTACGTGAAAAGCTTCTACAGCAGGAAAAACGATGAAGGCGCCTCACCGAAGATGTTGCAGAACTGCGCCACGCAGGTCCGAGACACAGCAGAACCTCCGTGACCATCAAAAATGGCCTTGAAACGCACGTTGTGCTGCCAGTGAGAAGGGGCATGCACTAGAAGGGCCTGAACATTCAAAAAGCCTATCACTGGGGGGTTAGCTGTTTCTGTTGGCAAATGGCGAGTGGCCGTAGGAGAACACCACGAACTATTTACCCTCAGCCCTTGACACTTGCCCTTTGCAGTTCACTTCGCATCGCCTATCCCATCAAAAGAAGTATAAAGTGGAATTTTGGGACAGAAGGCGAGAGAAAGATTAGCAGCGTGGCTAGCTGCCTTCTCAGGATACTAGTACACGCTGGAACTACTTCGAAGTAAGACGACTGTTCCTTCTTATTGTTCCTAAGAGCAACACACCGGAAGAACTTACGTCTTCGTCTTGCTTGCGCTTTCCGTTCATTGTTGCCCCAGTGGTTTTCGTGTACCATTCCCACAAAATGACCATCTGTTTGGAGTAGTGTCTCACAAAAGGCGCAGAGAGTGCGCGCCCCCGCGCATACATAGGATCTTGTGGCTCCTGTCGCTCGCTTTCTTCAGAAGCAGCAGCTGCAGCTCCGTTTTTCTCACTCTTCGCTGCTGCATCACCAGAGGCTCCCGTGGCTGCTGCAGTCCCGTCCACTGCAGGCACAGGCCCCTCAGGCGCCACAGCAGCTCCTGCTGCTTTCCCTGCGCTGTTGCTTTCGATATCTCTTACTGCTGGGCCTAAAGCTGGGGGAACTTGCGAGGAACCGAAGTCTTCCCCTTTAGTATTAGCTTTCCGCTCCTCAGGGTGTTCCCCCTCCTTAGGTGGGTGCTGCGGCGCAGCCTGTTTCGCGCCTCCATTTGCCCTGTTCAAACTCCCTGATGAAGTATCTTTGTCGTTTGCTCCTGTGGCTGATACTGCAGCTATCAGAAGAAGCAGGAGGAGAAAAAGCCACAAACTCCAGACGCGTCGATCCTCCCGCAGCGGACTCATGCTTGCGGCCTCAGTGCGTACCTGACTTTGCTGCTGTGCTTGCTGCTACAGCAGCAAGTGCTTCTGTGTTGTTGCGTCTGCTCCCCGCGATGTATCTCAAGGGGAGTAGCCCGGAAAGATCGTTTGCGCGGAGCTCATCATACACCAGGCGAAGCCCGGCCCTCTCCTCTGTTTAAGTCGTAAAGTGTGTTAATCTTCAAGGCCTCTTATTTCCCTCAAAATCGGTGAAGTGAGTCGCTAATCCTCCGACTCAGCCTTCCCTAATGAGGCCAGTATTCACGAGGGCGAATCCGGGAGGGGGTGCTCAACGAAGCGGCAAAGAGCGTCGTCCCCGGAAATTCGGCGCACTTAGGCAGCAAGGGCTCTACAGATAGTGTTGCAAAAATTAGATAAAACACAGGGAGAATAATGAAGTGGAAAAATGGAACAGGAGTGGAAGAGACCTCGACAATGTAGAAGAGCGCCACCGCTCTGTACCCTGTGGAGCCTTTCAGCTGTCTGTTCTGATGCTCGAAATGAGCTGACTTTGCCAGAAAACTATTATACTTCCAAAAAACGAAACTTAGTGAGGTTGGACGCAAGTGAGAAGCCGCCCACCCAGTGTGGAGGACGCGAGGGCTTCAACACTTTCGAAGCATCGCGTCCTCGTCGTCAACCTCGGCTGTTATTACTATCAGGAACATTATCAGCAGCGTTTCCCCCTTCATCTGGTCCTCTTAAGCGGTGTAGTATTCGCTATTTAATTCCGTCTCGAACTGGACACTACGAGGTATGAGCGCCCCAATTAATTACAGGAT